GGAAATTTTCAACCATTTTTTCTTTAAATGAGCTTTCTGACCCTTTCTTTCTTGTCCTTCTGTGGCTCTCATAATGCAAATATTGTTCCCCTTGATGATGTCGCATAATTAATACAGACTTTTTCACTCTTTTTTTTCTTCTCTACCTTGATAATTTCAAACGACCTGTTTTCTATTTCACAGATTCTTCTGCTTGTTCAAGTCTGCTATTGATGTTCTCTCCTGTACTTTTCATTTCATCATTGTATTCATCAGCTCCAATATTTCCCTTTGGTTCTTTTTTATGGGTTTCTATATCTGATGAACTCCTCCTTTTGTTCATATATTGTTTCCCTGATTTTTTTGAGTTGTCTACCTGGGTTCTCTTGTAGCTTGCTGAGCTTCCTTAAAAGAATTATTTTGAAATCTTCGTCAAGCAGTTCATAGATCTATATCTTTATGGTCAGTTGTTGAAAATAATTGTGTTCCTTTGGTGGTTGTGTCGTGTTTTGTTGATTTTCCATGTTTCTGTTGGCCTTGCGTTCATGTTGCCCCATTCAATGGACTGGTTTTGGTGGGGAAAGACCTCCACCTGCAGGTAGGTGTGAGGGTGCCGGCTGGATAGGCTGTGGCAGTTCTTGCCCCAGGGAAGACCAAGAGGTGTAGTCTCTGTGCAGCGTAAGTAGCTGAGTTTAGTGTTGGTGAAGATTGTAGGAGTCCTCCAAGCCCAAGGCAGCAAGCATCTACAGGACTAGTGAGGGCTGTTGGGGACCTCCTGATCTCTTTTTTTCTCCCATGGGGAATTGTTGTGGCCAAGGGGGATCCCCTTGGCACTGGGTTCACCTCATGGACACCCTCTTAGTGGTGGTGGTAGTGGTAGGTGCCCATAGATTGGCCATGGAGCTGGGACTGGACTTGCAAAACAGCTATGAAGCCAGGGTCTGGAGTTTAGACACACATAGGGTGGCTGCAGAGCCAGAGTTGGAAGTGCAAGTACTCACAGAGCAACAGTGGTTCTGGGGTCCAAAGTATTTGTGGGATTAGGAGGAGCATGGCAGCCCTGGTCCTGGGGCAGTGCAACAGCAACTCCTTCTTTTGGGGGGTGCAGCAATGTCTCCTTCTGCAAGGGATCTTTGGAAGTGATGGCTTTTGGTTACCTCAGTGGCAGAAGTTGCTGTTGTCCTCTGTGAAACAGGCCACTGGGGTCGGCACTGATAAACACTACAAGGTCCTCCTCTGTGAAAGCTTCAGGGAATCTGCGGCTGTCATGGGGGCTGTCGAGGTCCTCCACAGAGCGGGCCACTGGGGTCTGCGGTGGCATCCAATATATGGCTGATAATGATAGCCTCCACCCTTCTTTGTTCCTAGCTGTCTCCAGATGTCTCAGCTAAGCCTATCTCCCTAGTGATCCTTTCTGTGTGGTTATTCCCCATTCTTTTGCTCTGTTGTGCTTCTATAGGATCTTAATTGTACTCGAGCCCTCCCAAGGATATTTTCCTTTATGGATTGCTGTCTGTTCCTTGTTTTTTCTTGGGAGAGACTGGGATATTCTACTATGCCATCTTGCTGATGTCGCTCCTCAGAATACTTTCTATCTTGTTCTAATTTGCTTTTCATTTTTGAGCTTTTTGCTATTTAGCTTATCTTTTATTTTATCTTGATAATCACTTTTGACATTCAACAACTTAAATAGTTCTTTTATCATAGGTTGTACTGTTTACTCATCATAGCTACCTTGTGACATAGATATATTGTTATCCCTGTTTTACAGATGAAGAGACTAGATCACAGAGAACATAAGTCATTTGCCCAATCAAGGTTGCATATTTAGTTAGTATGGAACTAAGATATTCAAACACTGGCAGTATGATTCTAACATATACTCTTAACCTCTAGGTTATACTTCCTTTCAGGCTGCTTTGGCTTGTCTTAGCCCTCTGAAGATACTCTTATTTCTGTTTCCTGTGGTATTAGTTCCTTCATTTGTTTATTTTGATGCTTAGCTTTCATGTTACTTACTTTTCTCAAATGTTTGATTTTTGGGTGTGTACTTATTTATTTATTTATTTTTTCGAGGAAGATTAGCCCTGAGCTAACATCTGCTGCCAATCCTCCTCTTTTTGCTGAGGAAGACTGGCCCTGAGTTAACATCCATGCCCATCTTCCTCTACTTTATATGTGGCATGCCTACCACAGCATGGGCTGCCAAGTGGTGCCTTGTCCGCACCCAGGATCCAAACTGGGGAACCCTGGGCCGCCTAAGTGCGACTTGAGTACTTAACTGCTGCGCCACCGGGTCGGTCCCTTTATTTTTGTATTTGATCGAGTCTGTCTAAAAATGCTAGTGTTTGTATCTAGTGATTGTGGTAGGGAGAGTCATGACTTGCTGCTGGGAAGGATATATCAAACTGATTTTGGATATGAGGATATCCTGTTCATCTTCTTTCTGTCCAGCATTATTCTGCCTTTTGATTCATCTACATGTAGTGCAGATACCTCTGATGCTCATCACTTCCTTACTTGGCAATGGTAGGGGAACGGGATCCACCTGCGTGGCTCTTCCTAATGCTATTAGTCTGAGGATTGCTGCAGGATTCTCTCCTGTCCCCCATAACTGCTTCATACTTAACATGGAATATCCCTGAAATTGCCCCCTCGCCGCCTGCCACCCCCCCCCCCCCCGCCCCGTAGTTTGTAGTTTACTTCTGGTTGCAGTTTGGGCTGTAGTTTCTTCTCATTTATCTCTTGTCTTTCATTGATTAAATTTTTCATTCCTTTAGGTCATATTCTTGTTTTACAATGTTGTTATGGTTTATTCTCTTATAGTTTTAGTGCTGTTATAATTTATTCTTTTTTTTAGAATTATTATATTGAGGCCATGTTGGTTTATAACATTGTGTAAATTTTGGGTGTACACTATTATATTTCAGTTTCTGTATAGACTGCATTATGTTCACCACCAATAGTCTAGTTTTCATCTGTCACCATATATATGTACCCCTTTATCCTTTTTGCCCCCACCCCCACCCCCTTCCCCCTTCCCCTCTGGTAACCACTAGTCTGTTCTCCTTATCTGTGTGTTTATCTTCCACATATGAGTGAAATCCTATGGTATTTGTCTTTATCTGACGTATTTCGCTTAGCATAATACCCTCAAGGTCTATCCATGTTATTGCAAATGGCATGATTTTGTCTTTTTTATGGCTAAATAGTATTCCATCATACACACACACGCACACGCACCCCTTCTTTATCCATTCATCCGTTCATGGGCACTTGGGTTGCTTCCACATCTTGGCTGATATGAATAATGCTGCGATGAACATAGGAGTGCATAAATCTTTTTGAATTATTGATTTCAAGTTCTTTGGATAAATACCCAGTAATGGAATAGCTGGATCACATGGTATTTCTATTTTTAATTTTTTGAGAAATCTCCATACTGTGTTTCATAGTGATTGCACCAGTTTGCATTCCTATCAGCAGTGTTCAAGGGTTCCCTTTTCTCTACATCTTCTCCAACACTTGTTATTTCTTGTTTTGTTAATTACAGCCATTCTGACAGGCATGAGGTGATATCTCACATAGTTTTGATTTGCATTTCCCTAATAATTAGTGATGTTGAACATCTTTTCATGTGCCTGTTGGCCATCTGTATATCTTCTTCAAAAAAATGTCTGTTCATCTCCTCTGCACATTTTTTGATCAGGTTGTTCATTTTTTTTTGTTGAGTTGTATGAATTCTTTATATGTTTTGGAAATTAATCTCTTGTCAGATATATAATTTGCAAATATTTTCTCCCAGTTGATAGGTTGTCTTTTCATTTTGTTGGTGGTTTCCTTTGCCATGCAGAAGCTTTTTAGTCTGATGTAGTCTCACTTGTTAATTTTTTCTTTTGTTTCTCTTGCCTGAGTAGACATGGTATTGAAAAGATACTGCTAAGACCGATGTCAAGGAGCATACTGCCTATATTTTCTTCTAGGAGTTTTATGGTTTCAGATCTTACATTCAAGTCTTTAGTACATTTTGAATTAGTTTTTGTGTATGGTGTAAGATAATGGTCTACTTACTTTCTTTGCATGTGGCTGTCCAGTTTTCCCAACACCGTTTATTGAAGAGACTTTCCTTTCTCCATTGTATGTTCTTGGCTCCTTTGTCGAAGATTAGTTGTCCATAGATGTGTGGCTTTGTTTCTGGGCTCTCAATTCTTTTCCATTGATCTATGTGTCTGTTTTTGTGCCAGTACTGTGCTGTTTTGATTACTCTAACTTTGTAGTATATTTTGAAGTCAGGGAGTATGATGCCTTTATTCTTTATTCCTGTAATTTTTAGGGTTGTAGGTTTGGAGGTGATTGTGTTGAATATGGTCCTTTCATTTTGATGCTATCTTCTGTCAGTGGTTCTTAATCTTTTCACAGCCATTGACTTCTTTGATCATTTGATGAATTCTATGTATGGTCACCTTTTTTTTTTTTTTTAAGATTTTATTTTTTCCTTTTTCTCCCCAAAGCCCCCCGGTACATAGTTGTGTATTCTTCGTTATGGGTTCTTCTAGTTGTGGCATGTGGGACGCTGCCTCAGCGTGGTCTGATGAGCAGTGCCATGTCCGCGCTCAGGATTCGAACTAAGGAAACACTGGGCCGCCTGCAGCGGAGCGCGCGAACTTAACCACTCGGCCACGGGGCCAGCCCCTTGGTCACCTTTTTTTATATGCAAATACATAGCGATGAACCACCTGTATCTCAAGCAATGGCCAAATGTTAATTTGAGGATTATTAGTTTTGTGGGTGGGTGTGGTTTCTCACAGGGAAGGGGTTTTGTTTTTTGTTACGTTAGAGGTATAAGCCTGTTCCTTGGAGAATAATTTGTTATTCAAGTTTGAGGAAAATTGCTGTAAAAGATATATTTAGCCATAGAGTTAAATAGAGAGACATTCATTTTTAAAATATTAGAAAGATGGAGCTATTTCTTTCTAGTAAACAAAGTTTTATAACATTTCTTTTTTTCCTGTTTTTCCTAGGTTTAACTATAGATCAACACATCATCTTGCGTCTCATGGGTTCTATGAATTTTTAAATTGGTTTGATGAAAGAGCATGGTATCCACTAGGAAGAATAGTAGGTGGTACTGTAAGTATATTTGAAGTTATTTATGTTAATCATTAATTTTTATGGTTATTTGAGTGAATTATTAATTGCCAAGATAATGGAGATTCTTGAAAGCTTTGTATAGTTAACTAATACATTTTTCTTTGGCTGATTATCCAGTATTTAATTTACTAAATCTCTTTTCTTGACACTTCCCGCCCCTCCCACAAACCTGTTTTTGTGTTATCTCACACTAGCCACTATCTCTGACAAGTGGTGGGGGCTGAGAGGGGGATCTCTTGTCATAGTATATCTTAAGTTCAGGTTATGTGTTTCTGTTTTGTTCTATAGCAACTTTATTGAGAAAACATGTTTTGGAAGGAAATAGGAATTTGGAAGAATTAGATAATCCTAATTTTCAAGTCCCAAATCTGTTGTAAATTACTCCAGGTAATTGAGTATTGATAACAATTTATGAGGAGTTATTATATCCATAAGATAACGTAAGGGAAAATATTTTTAGGATTTGGGATGTAAGGAGAATATTGAAGAGAAAGTGAAAGACAGACACCTATTTGGGAAACATTTATGCTTAGTATTTTTTTTCTCAATCAATTTTGTCAGAGGTTTATCAGTTTTATTAGATTTCTTAACCCAAAGAAACTTAGACTTTGTTGATTACCTCTATTTAATGTTTGTCTTCTATTGTATTAATTTCAATTTATTTCCTTCCTTCCACTTTCTTGTTTATTTGGATGTTTTTTTCTGACTTCCTGATACAGTTTGCCCAATAATTTTCAACCTTTCTTTGTTATCACTGTTTTCATTTTCAAGTTATAAATTTCCCACTAATCACTGTTTTAGCTACATTGCATTGGGTTTTATTTATTTATTTATTTATTTAATTTATTCAACCGGAGCTAGCATCTGTGCCAATCTTCCTTTATTTTGTATGCGGATTGCCACCACAGCATGGCCGCAAAGTGGTGTAGGTCCGCACCCTGGGACCAAACGTGGACCACCAAAGCAGAGCATGCTGAACTTAACCAGAAGGCCATGGGGCTGGCCCCTGCAGAAGTTTTCACATGTAGTATTTTCATTATCATTCAAGTCACAATGTATTTTAATTTCCCCTGATTTCTGGATTATTTAGAATTGTATTTTACGTTTAAACATAAGAGGATTTCCCAGTTATCTTTTTTTTGCTTTATATTTCAAATATATTGTGGTTAGAGAACAAATTCTATAATGTCAATACTTTGAAATTTGAGACTGGATTTTTGTGGTCTAGGATATAGACAAATTTTATAAATGTTCTCTATGTGTTTGGAAAGAATATGTTCTCTGTGGTAGTAAGATGTTCTGTTTCTAATCTGGGCATCTTCTTATCTTTGATGCAAATAGAGATAAAGATACAAGGAAAGTAGTCATGATGCTCTCCAGGGCAAATCAGAAAGATATTGAATAGTAAGAAATGTGGTAGATGGCTGTTATCTGCACTTCTTGTGGTGCTAATATTGTCATATACCTTATTGTATTAATATTTGATGACTATCGTTTGTTTGCTAGTGTGTTTATAACTTTTTATCTTGACTTCATCCTCAGTGGAGGCTTGTTTCTGAGGCTTCTGGTGTCCTGGTGTTTGAGACCATCCCTATAATAATCTTTCTCGTTTGCATTTGTTTCTATTCAAAGCTTTGTAAATAAGACAGGAGTTCTTTATTGTTTCCCTTGATGAATGGGTAGAATTTGTCTAGTCTAGTTTCATAAATAGCTAGCCCTGGTGGTCTAGTGATTAAGGTTCAGCACTGTCATCGCCACAGCCTGGATTCATTTCCTGATCAGGGAAACCACACCACCCATCTGTCAGTTGTCATATTGTGGTGGCTGCATGTTGCCGTGATGCTGAAAGCTGTGCCACTAGGATTTCAAATAGCAGAAGGGTCATCCATGGTCATCCATGGATAGGTTTCAGCGGAACTTCCAGACTAAGACAGACTAGGAAGAAGGACCCACTTCCAAAAACTGGCAATGAAAACCCTACGAATAGCTGCAGAGCATTGTCTGATACAGTGCTGGAAGATGAGAGGATGGTGCAAAAAGACTAGGCAGGGTTCTACTCTGCTGTCCACAGGGTTAGCCAGGAGTCGGAATTGACTGGATGGCACTACCAACAACAGAGTTTTGTAAACGGGCCCTGGTTTTGTGCTGGGAATTAGGCCGTTTCTCTGATCACTGTGTTAAATCATAATCCCCTATCTAAAGTCCCTAAGGTGTATATCAAGCCTGATGTGGTTTTTTTTTCCCCTCCCTTTTGGGCTCCAATGGCATCAGTTCCTACTTTGAATTTCCCCTTTATTTTTGGCATCTGGAGGGTTCCCTGTCTTCTGAGCTTAAGTAATGCCTTTGTTGTTGGGTGATTTTCTTTTGTTTGGTTAGGCTTTTTTGGTCTTTTGATCCAATACTTCTGTGTATTTTGGCTATACTTTGTAAGTCAGCTCAGTCTGCCATATTGTCATGGATGTATTGACTTACCTTTAGAGGTATTTTCAAAGTCATATCCTTTTGTTTTGAATATGGCTGACAAAATCCAACACTGGGACCTGGTATTATCGTATGTGAAATAGAACAAAATTTTAATTTTTAACACTAGTGATAATTCCCACACTTTTTTCCACCTTCCTTTATTCCATTCTGCTTCCATGAATACAAAAGGTATTTAGCATCCATTTTGTGCTAATGATTGTCCTGGATGCTGATGAAATTTTTCCTGCTATTTTGGATCTTATATTCTTGTGACAGTGTTTAGTTAATAGACAAATAAAAAAGGTAAAATAAATAGTATGTGAAATGTTGATAAGTGCTATGGAGGAAAAGAAAGGGAGTAGGTTGAAGACCATGAGGAGTTTGCAATTTTAAATAGTACAGCTTGGAAAGAAATTTATAGCATTCTTTATAGTTTCAATGATGGAGAAAGAAAAGAATCTTTTAGGATTTAGCTAAGGATGGAAATGTAAATACAGTAGGACCCCCTTATCCACAATTTCACTTTTCACAGTTTCAGTTGGCTGTGGTCAACTGCAGTCTGAATATATTAAATGGAAAATTCCAGAAATAATTCCTAAGTTTTAAATTGCATCCTGGTCTGAATAGCATGATGAAATCTCACATTGTCCTTCTCCGTCCCACCTTGGATGTGAATCATTCCTTTGTACAGCATATCCACACTGTATACGCTACCTGTCCATTAGTCACTTAGTAGCCTATTCAGTTATCAGATCACCTGTCGCTGTATTGCACTGCCTGTGTTTGAGTAACACTTATTTTGCTTAATAAATGGCCTCAAAGCTCAAGAGTAGTGATGCTAGCAGTTTGGATATGCCAGTGAGAAGCCATAAAGTAGATTCCTTTAAGTACAAGGGTGAAAGTTCGTGACTTAATAAGGAAAGAAAAGAAATTGTATGCTGATTTGCTAAACATTGTAGCTGAGGTTGCTAAGATCTACAATAACTTTTATTATGTTGTTATAATTGTTCTGTTTTATTATTGTTAATCTCTTAGTGTGCCTGATTTATAAATTAAACTTTATCAAAGGTATGTATGTATAGGAAAAAACATAGTCTATATGGGGTTCAGTACAATCCTAGGTTTCAGGTATCCACTCACGATGTTGGAACATATCCCCTGTGGATAAGGGGGGACTATCATACATGTTTTAATCACTGATGAATAGCTCAGAAATAATGTCCTATTTACTGTTCTTTGAATCCTCTTAATAAAGCTTTCATATTCCACTTTTAGAGAGTGAGGGTGAGGAGTACAACTATTTATTGGCCTCTTCTAGATTATTATTTCCCTTCCATCCTTAAATACTTTAGGTGGTTTAAAAACATTCAACCTTCCAGGAGTTCCAAAATATTATCTTTGAATTCACCAAATGACTAGTCTTTCTTTTCCTAGCTAGAGTTGTTTACTTTCCAAATCTTGGCTTTGAAAGGGAAAAATCATTTATAAATACCACTTAAATAATATTGCATATAACTTTTCTTCATCTTCTCTCCTTTTCTCATTCTCTTATACATACACAAATTATCAGCAAAATTGGAGCATGTTAAAACACCAAACTTAAGTGTAAGTTAGACTAGGACTCTGTTTTATAGTGAAAAAACAGTTAATGGGATCAATAAGAAAGTTACCTATGGTTTTCCATTGTTAAACATTTTCAATTTTGATCATTCATTCTATCTGATCTTTTATTTAAATATCTATCTCTCCATATCTGTGCTTTTTCTTGGTATCCAATCCAAAAGAACATTTAATTTTGTAGTGTGTGAGGAAGGCAAACTGTTTTGAGATCTTATTCTCAAACTTACAGTAAACAACATGTAATAATACAGAAAAGAACTTATGTTCATGTTTTCCTGCCTCACTGTATATGTAATTAAAATTTTCGATGTTTTTCTTCCTAGGTTTACCCAGGGTTGATGATAACAGCTGGCCTTATCCATTGGATTTTAAATACATTGAACATAACAGTTCACATAAGAGATGTATGTGTGTTCCTTGCACCAACTTTTAGCGGCCTTACATCTATATCTACTTTTCTGCTTACCAGAGAACTTTGGAACCAAGGAGCAGGACTTTTAGCTGCTTGTTTTATTGCTATTGTACCAGGTTACATTTCTCGGTCAGTAGCTGGATCCTTTGATAACGAAGGCATTGCTATTTTTGCACTTCAGTTCACATACTACCTTTGGGTAAGTAACACTTAATGTTTTGCTGCTATTAATATGCATGAACTTTCTCCTAAAATGCTATTGGTTGTACTCATTTATCTTTTATCAATTATAGTTGCATTCAGAGCTCTCTGTTACTATTCATAATAAATTTAATAATGAATAACATTTAAAAATGGTACTGTTCTCTCTATTATATATATATGTATGTACGTGTATATATATAATTTTGACAACAATCTTGTTACACCTATTTTACAGGCAATGATAATATCCTTACTTTATAAGTCATAGTTCCAAAAAACAAGGTATTGGTTTTTTTTTGTTTCTTTTTTGGAGAGGAAGGGGATCAGAAAGACTTTGGAAAGTTGAAATGTGGTTCAGTGGCTTGAGATTTTGAATTCTGTTTGTGAAACTGGCATTATTTTGCTGTTGCCAAGTTTTCTCCTCCCAATCTATATACCTTTTATTTCCTTTTCTTGTCTTATTGCATTAGCTAGTACTTCCAGTACAGTGTTGATAGGGGACAGGCTTGCCTTGTTCCTGATCTTAGTGGGAAGGCTTTAGGTTTCTCACCATTAAGTATGGTGTTAGCTGTAGATTTTTTGTAGATATTATTTATCAAGTTAAGGAAGTTCTGCTATATTTCCAGTTTGCTAGGAGATTGTATCGTGAATCGATGTTGAATTTCGTCAAATCCTTTTTCTGCGTCTATTCATACAGTTACGTGATCTTTTCCCATTGACCTTTTGATGTGATGAATTATGTTAATTAATTTTCAAATGTTGAACCAGCCTTTCGTACCTGCGATAAATCTTACTTGGTTGTGATATATAATTTCTATAATACATTGTTGGATTTGATTTGCTAATATTTTGTTGAGTTTTGCATCTGTGTTTATAAGAGATTATTGATCTGTAGTTTTCTTATGTCTTGTTTGGTTTTGGTATTAGGATAATTCTGGCCCTATAGAATGAGTTAGGAAGTATTCCCTTTGCTTTTATTTTCTTAAAGAGATTGTAGAGAATTGGTATAATTTCTTCCTTAAATGTTTGGTAGAAGTCACCAGTGAACTTGAACTGGTGCTTTCTGCTTTGGAAGTTATTATTACTTCAATCTCTTTAATAAATACAGGCTTATTCAGATTGTCTATTTCTTTACATGTGAATTTTGGCAGATTTTGTCTTTCAAGGAATTGGTCCATTTCATTTAGGTTATCAAATTTGTGGGCATAGAATTGTTTATAGTATCTCTTTATTACCCTTTTAATTAATGCCCATGGGATTTGTAGTAATGTCCCTTCTTTCATTTCTAATATTTCTAATTTGTGTCCTCTTTTTCTTAGCCTGTTTAGAGGCTTATTGATTTTGTTGATCTTTCAAAGAACCAATTTTTGGTTTCATTGATTTTTCTCTGTTGATTTCTTGTTTCAGTTTCATTGATTTCTGCTGTAGTTCATATTTCTTTTTTCCTACTTCCTTTGGATTTAAATTGCCCTTCTTTTTCTGGATCTTTCTTTTCTGCTATATGCATTTAGTGCTATGAATTTCCCTATAAGCACTGCTTTCTCTGTATCCTACAAATTTTGAAAAGTTGTGTTTTCATTTTTACTTAGTTAACAGTATTTTAAATTTCTCTTGTGCTTTCTTCTTTGACCCATGTGTTACTTAGAATTATGTTGTTTAATCTCCATGTATTTTGAGATTTTCCAAGTTATCTTTCTGTTACTGATTTTTAGATTAATTCCATTGTGGGCTGAAAACACACATTATGTGATTTCTGTTCTTTTAAGTTTGTTAAGGTGTGTTTTGTGGCCCAGAATATGATTTATCTTGGGACTGTTCCCTGTGATCTTGAGAACAAGGTGTATTCTGCTATTCTTAGATGAAGCAGTCTATAGATGTCCATTATATCCACCTGATTGATGATGTTGTTGAGTTCAACTACATCCTTACTGATTTTCTGTCTGCTGGATCTGTCCATTTCTGAGAGAGGGGTTTTGAAGTTTCCAATTGTGATAGTGGATTCTTCCAATTCTCCTCGCAGTTCTATCAGTTTTTTCCTTAGATAGTTTGGCACTCTGTTGTTAGGCACATATACTTTAAGAATTATGTCTTCTTGGAGAATTAATCTGTTTATCATTATGTAATGCCTTTCTTTATCCCTGATACCTTTCATTGCTTTGAAGTCTGCTCTGTCTGAAATTAATATAACTACTGCTTTCTTTTGATTAGTGTTAGCGTGGTATATTTTTTGTCATCTATTTGTTTATTTTTATTTTATTTTTTATTTTTATTTATTTATTTATTTTTGAGGAAGATTAGCCCTGAGCTACTATCCCTTGCCAATCCTCCTCTTTTTGCTGAGGAAGACTGGCCCTGACTAACATCTGTGCCCATCTTCCTCTGTTTTATACATGGGACACCTGCCACAGCATGGCTTGATAAGCAGTATGTAGATCCGCACCTGGGATCTGAACCAGCAAACCCCAGGCCACTGAGGCAGAGTGCACGAATTTAAGACCTGTGCAACTGGGCCGGCCCCATCCTCTATTTATTTTTAATCTGTATTTGTCTTTATGCTTTTTAAGAAACACAAAAGTGGTCTTGTCTATAGTTTTGTATTCTTTATTTTCTTCTAACATATGAATCTGAACCATTGCAGGAGTGTGTTAGCTGGCACCTTAATTACCTTTTAACATTTTTTAAAATTTAACCTTTAAAAATTGAGATAAAATTCACGTGAAATAAAATTCACCACTTTAACCTTTTTAAAGTGTACAATTCAATTGTTTTTAGTATCTTCTATTTTTAGTATATGTGCTGCCAAAGCAAGCACAAGTATCTTCTATTATTTACAGACATTTCTCCCTAAAGAAATCCTGTACCTCCCAATTCCCACCCTCCCTCCATTGATTTAATTTCTGTCTCTGTAGACTTACCTATTCTGGACATTTCATATAAATAAAACCCACGTAAGATCCCACATAAAATATATGAATTTTTATGTATGATTTCTTTAGCTTTACATAATCATTCATGTCTTTGACATGTATCAATACTTCATTCCGTTTTATGGCCGAATAATCCATTGTATGGATATGTCATATTTTTTAATCCTTCACCAGTTGATGGACATTTGAGTTGTTTTTGTGTATTAGCTATTATGAATAATGCTACTCACATTTGTGTACAAGTTTTGGTGTTTACATATGTTTTCATTTCTCTTTAGTATATACCTAAGAATGGAATTATTGGTTCACGTGGTAACTCTGTGATTAACCTTTTTGAGGAACTGCCAGACTCTTTTCCCACAGTGTTTGCACCATTTTACATTCCCACCAGCAGTGTATGAGGGTTTTGATTTCTCTAAATCCTCACCAATACTTGTTTTTTTCTGTTTTTGTTGTTACTTTTCTGTTGCCTACTGGTGTGAAGTGGTGTCTCATATGAGTTTTTTTTAATTGTTGTAAAATATACATAACATAAAATTAACCGTCTTTAACCATTTGTAAGTGTAGAGTTCAGTTCTACCCATTACACAATAACTCCCCATTCTTCCCTGCCCCAGCCCCTGGCAACCACCATTCTACTTTCTGTCTCTGTGATTTTGAGTACTCTAAGTATCTCATGTGAGTGGAATTATATAGTTTTTATCTTTTTGTGACTGGCTTATTCACTTGATATAAAGTTCTCAAGGTTCATCCATATTGTAACATATGTCAGAATTTCCTTCCTTTTTAAGGCTGAATAATATTCTTTGATATTTATATACCATATTTTGTTTATCCATTCATCCTTTGATGGACACTGGGTTGCTTTCATGTTTTAGCTATTGTGAATAATGTTGCTGTGCACATAGATGTACAAATATCTCTTCGAGACCCTGCTTTTAATTCTTTTGTGTATATACCCAAAAGTGAAATTGCCAGATTGTGTGGTAATTCCATTTTCAGTTCTTTGAGGAACCACCATACGTTTTTCCATAGCTGCTGTACCATTTTACATTCACATCAACAGTACACAAGGGTTCCAGTTTCTCTATGTCCTCACCAATACTTGTTATTGTTTTTTTTTTTTGGATAGTAGCTTTCTTAATGGTTGTGAAGTGGTATCTCTTGTAGTTTTAATTTGCATTTCCCTAACGATCTGTGATGTTGAGCATCTTTTCATGTGGTTAATGGCCATTTGTATATCTTTGGAGAAATGTTTATGTAAGTCCTTTCCCCATTTTTGAATCTGGTTGTTTTTTGTTGATGAGTTTTAGGAGTTCTCTATGTAATAGATGATAATCCTTTATATAATCCTCTGTAATGTATAATAATCTTCTATATAATCCTTTGAAGATACGTAATTTGCAAATTCTTCCCCATTCTGTGCATTGCTTTTTTTATACTGCTGATACTGTCTTTTGATGCACAAAATTTTTAATTTTTCATGAAGTCAAATTTGTTTATTTTTTCATTTATTGCTGTGCCTTTGGTGTCATAGTCAAGAAATCATTGCCAAATCTAATATCATGAAGCTTTTGCCCTGTTTCTTCTGAGATATTTAGGTCTTTTTGTATAAGGCATTAGGGAAGGGTCCAACTTCATTATTTTGCACATGGATATCCAAGTTTTCCAGTACCAGTTGTTGAAAAGACTGTCCTTTCCCCATTGAATGGTCTTGGCACCCTGGTCAAAAAGCATTTGACCATATATACAAAAGTTTATTTCTGGGGGTTCTATTATGTTCCTTTGGTCTATCTGTAAGTATGTCTTTATACATTTGTAGTAAGTTTAAAATCAGGAACTGTGTGTCCTTCAGTTTTGTTTTTCTTTTTCAAGATCCTTTTGGTTATTAGGGGTCCCTTGAGATTCCATTTGAATTTTAGGATGGGTTGTTTTTACTTCTGCAAAAAACAACACTGGGATTTTGATACAGATTGCTTTGACTCTGTAGATTACTTTGGGTATTGTCATCTTAGCAATACTGTCTTCTAATCCATGAATGAACATGGGATGTGTTTCTATTTATTTA